ATGAGCCATTTGGTGTCACAAAGACCACATAAGGCTGACCACCTATGCTGGCTTGGAGGAGAGTAGCCCTGTAGGAGCATATGTTTGACTGGTTGGTCCTTTCTCAGTTAGTGGAACTGATTAGATAGGATTGGGAGGTATGACCTCATTGGAGGAGGTACTTCACTGAGGGTGGACTTTGAAGTTTCAAACATCCATGCATTCCCAGTTAGTTATCTCTCTGCACATACTTGGTGTTTATAGATCAAATATTAGTTCCATGGCTGCCTGCTACCATGTTCCCCACCGTGATGATCACAGACTCTAACCCCGTGGAACTATGGGTCTTCACATTAGATTTTTTTTTTAATAAGTCGCTTTGGTTGTGATGTTTTGTCATGGCAATATTAAGTAACTAAGATACCAAAAAGTTTTTAGATAAGTTAAGAAATAAATCAGTTTTGTAGTCTTTTATTCTTCCTTGGGAGACATGCTCTGCAATGAAGATTTCTATTGTACAGACTGGCAGCAAATCTGAGTCACATGGTCACAGGTCTTATGCTGTTTAGCATGGCATGCACTTTTACCTTTAGACTGTTTTGATGTCCTTGAAATGGGCAGGTGGCATTTGTTTTTAGATTAGTCATGTAGTCAATCAATCTCACATAGTGCCAACAAGCGCTGGGTCCTCTAACCTTTCAGAACATGATTTTGGGCTTTAGTGGCCACTTAGCCAGAGGTTAGTGAGCAAATGCCTAAGGACACATTGTGGGAGAAACTGGTGATCAGAAGAGAGTAAAGACCCAGGGCTCCCATTTTGGGGTAACAGAAGCAGGCATGAGTATTGCAGGGCTAAGGGAACTTTCCCCCTCTATCCTTTGAAGGTTTCTCAAAATGCACTCATACCAGGAAGATAAAAAAGAAGAAAAGGCACACAAACATGATAGCATGAAAAAGGAGAAAAATAACAGGAGTGGAAATAACCCCATCCCAGCACATACTCCTGTTCCATGGGTCGCGGAGGGAAGCAATGGATAAGGCAGGTAGGGATTTTAGGTTCAGTAATGGTTGACAAAGAAAACTGAATGAGCCTAGGTCAAAAGCCACTGTGCCTACAGAACAGACAGCACATTAAAAAGGATTCTTTTTAGGATACTGGGCGAGACTGAAATAGAAGACAATGGTGTGTGAGGAAAAGGTCTGTCTGACTATGTTGCTAGATCAGTATTCTTTACTGCTTTGTGAGTCCAGTTAATGCAAGTTCAGGGTAGAGACCAGAGGTAACCATTTCATCTTTTGTAGCTCCAAACTTTTGCTGATAAGGGAATTAACTAGAAAGCCTTTCCCTGTCCAGCTGGGAAGAGGCAAGATGAGGTTCTGAGCCTACTGGTAAGATTTTTTTTTCCTTTCCTTCGCTTAAAGTGCTAATCACGCCCTAACCTATCTTATTCTGGGGATATCATTCTTAACAATACAATAGTACAGCATACTCCTTCAAGCATATTATTTCTGCTTTGTGTATCTGTGCAGGTTCCCAGGAGACCCGTATTTTATTTGTTTGAGTTTGTGTTTTTCTCTTTCTTTCTTTCTTTCTTTCTTTCTTTCTTTCTTTCTTTCTGAGACAGAGTAGTCCAGGCTGGTCTTGAACACTTTATCTTCCTGCTTCTCCTTCTCAAGTTCTGGGATTATAGGCCTGCCAGGAGATGTTTCTACCCCTCTGTAAGAAGGGTTGGTGATATCGTGGAGTTCTCCCATCAAGACATTCATCTCAAGTAGTAGCTATGGCAACAGGCCCACGTATCACTTAGCAGATCAGAGAAATGCTGCTTATAGGTTTAGCAAAGTGAGGCTTCTGTAGCTTTTTCCTCTGAAATGAAGCACCACGTATTAGAGGGAGAGTCCTAAGACTCAGGAAGCAATGAAACTTATAAGAGTCAAGAATCTCAGAAAGCTACAGGACACACAGGATCTGTTTCCAGGTCACATGGGCAGCAAACAATTTATAGGGGGAAGAGAGGACTCTTAAGTGGAGCTGCCTGTGACCTGTGGAAAGAGGGCCAGGGATGGAGCATCTGCGAGTTGCTGCCAATCATGAGTGGGCTTTTTAGTGATGCTGATACCTTGGAGCCGTAATTCATGCTGCAATAAACCAATTCATTTACCAGGCTTGTTTTGTTGGAACTGTTTATTTACTCTGGCATCTGGTCTTTTGTTGGTGCTCCACGTGAAGTGAACAGATGTTTGTTCATGTGTCCCCAGGAAAAATTTTGTAACACGGGGATTAAAAATTAACCACTGTTGCTATGTGTGTGTGTGTGTGTGTGTGTGTGTGTGTGTGTAAACTAAAAATAGACTTACTGGGAATCCACCCTAAGACTTCAAGTTAAAATACCACAAAGATATTTACACATCAGTGTCTATGGAAACAGTTTACACAATAGCCAAGTAATGGAAGTGATTTAGGTGTCCATCAATAGAGGAATGGATAAGGACAATATGGTGTATATAGACGAAGGAAGTTTTTCCATCCATAATGAAGAATGAAGTTATGTGGTTTGTGGGATAATGGACACCCTAGGAGATAACTGTGAGAAGTCTTAGAAAGATACATGTTTTTTCTCATGTGGTTCTTAGACTTCATATAGATATACAAAATAACGTATGTACACATGACATGAAAGCATAATGATTGTAGGATATAGAGAAATCAAGGTTGACTTAAGTTGCAAGCCCCTCTGCTGGCTAGCTTTTGTAGTGTGGTAGGATATTGTGTAGCCTGATGGTGGTGAAAAGTCATCAAATGGCTTTACCTAGCTGTGTACCCCATATAGTATAATATACACCTTCCAGGCAAGATGTGCCCTCTGGTACAATAATGGCATGGCTATTACAGGAGTAACCAACTGCTTTCCGCATATAATGGAGGCCTACTTCACAGGAGGGAATTCTTTCCTGGCACTGCAAGCTTGGCCAAAACTTTTGACTGTGGAAGTCATAGGCCCCAGTGAGGATCTCAGTGAGGATGTTGCTGTTATTGTTTTGCCAAATGAACCTGGTGTTAATCTGACTCCTAAGTGTTTGTTTATAACCATAGATCAGTGTTGCTTTTAGCTTTAGTCAGAAAAGCTTTTTTTTTTTTTTGATGTGGGAGACAGTTAAGGTAGAGATTCATAGCTGGTCAATATATTGAGAATAAGTGAATCTTAAGTGCTCAGGCTTAATCTGGACATTTATGTATGTATGTCTAGATTATCACCCCTTTCAAAGTTCAGGAAGATATTGAAAAAGGAATCTAAGAACCAGAGATTAACGAAGAATTCTGTGATACAGCTTCCTGGACACAGCATGGCGATTGCACTCACAAACTACAATAAGCTTTAGCTTTGCACAAGATCTAGTCTAGACTGGGCCTATTGACATTTCATCATGGATAGAGGAAGGATAGAGGTGACACCCTTCTCCTCCATGAGGAATATTGGCAATTAATGGTTTCTGGGCGTGGGGTAGTCATTTTCTTCAATGTTGTGGCTGCTGGTGGGCTGTCCATGCTCCATTTAGTAACCTACCCAAGGCCATCCCAGTAACCCTAATTAGATTCACACACACACACACACACACACACACACACACACACACCTACAAAACAAAAAAATAGAAAGTGAGAAGAAGGAATTCTGTGGAGATGGGAGGGATAAGACAGAAAATCAGATTCACAGGTGGTGAAATGAGTAAAATATAGACTTGCATGAAATTGTCAAATAAAGAAATGTCATCAGCAACAAAGAAAGTGGAAATCATTGGCAGTGGTGCCATAGGCCTTTAATCCCAGCACTCAGGAGGCATAAGCAGGCAAATCTCTGAGTCTGAGTTTAGCCTGGTCTATAGAGCTAGTTCCAGGACAGTCAAGGTTACAGAGAAACCTTTTGTCTTGAAAAGAAGCAAGCAAGCAAGGAAGCAAACAAGCAAGCAAGCAAGCGAGAGAGCAAACAAATGAAAAAGAAAGTAGAAATGAAACAGGCTATGAGGATAAAGGGGGGAGGAGGAAAGAGGAGAGCAGGTGTTGGAGACCAGCTTCCACAAAAATACCACTTACCAGGGCAGGAGGCATGGAGATTAGAACATTAGTAAAGAGAACAAAGACACGAGTGAAAATAATAAAACAAAATCATAGGATAGTACCAGGAGGAAGTTCCAGTGAATGAATACTGAAATCACCTGCGTTTAATTTCCATTTGCTTAAAATACCCCAACCCCAAAAGGTAGGATTAAGATAAAAACTGGATTAACATGATACAAGGAAATAAATAGACCAGTTGAAGGATTGCAGGTTACATCCTTAGTTAAACATTCTGTTGTGATGAATCTAAAATGGCTGAAAGACACTGAAGAAAATGCTCAACATCCTTAGTCATAAGAGAAATGCAAATCAAAACAACTCTGAGATTCCAGAAACAGGTGAATAATTTAGTGAATAAATGCAACATTTGCTTCCTCTATTAACAACTGCTCTTTGGAGGAAGGGATACACTTCTTTTGTATCTTTTTTCTTGCAGGCTGTTGCTTAACCTTAGCCAAGGAACTTCCTCGAGTTGCTCGCAAAGGCGGACTCTCTTTCCTAGATTGTTCTGGGAAAAGAGCAGCTTCCTCCTCTCCAGAGGCCCAGTCCCACTCTGGCAGATTAGTGACGCGTGCAGCCGCTGGCCTTTGTCTGGCCGGATTTAGCTGAGCCAGGTTGAAACACCACACACACCCACAGTTTCAGGGCGGAGACTTAATGTATTTATTATATCTTTTTCCTATTTGGTTCTGTCAACAGAAGATATATTCTGTGACCTCCGGCAGTGACGGCTTAAAAATCTGGCTGCAAAGCGCAGGGTTGCAGGGTGTAACCGGGTGGCTCAGAGGCAGGGCACTATCTGCAGGCGTGGCCAGGGAGGGCACGTGTTTGAGACCGTCTTCCCCGTCGCTGGGGTCTGGGGCGTCTCCGGTGCTATCTTTAAAGAACACAAGTGAAAGGGGACGTGGGTGTGACCTATAGCCTTGTCTCCGAGGGGTACAATAAAGTTTAAGAAGTTTGAAAAGGGGTGTGGCCGGAGCTCGGCGAGGCGCCTGGAGAAGGGTGCGCGACATGGGGGTCACCGTGGACGTTCACCAGGTGTTCCAGTACCCCTTCGAGCAGGTGGTCGCTTGCTTCCTCCGAAAGGTATCAGTCCCTCCGACCCGGGCGGTGTGCCCGCTGCCGAGAGCCTTACTGTCCGCCCCCCCCCCCCGCCCCCTCCCCCTGTCGCGCAATGACAGGACCCCAAAAAGCTCAGGGGTCCTAATCCATTCTCCGGGTCCCCCTCCAGCGCGCGTGCTGCTTTCGGGATGCACCGGGGAGGGTGGAGGCGGAATTCCTCGAAGGTTGCTCTCTGGGAGGAGCGGAGGCTGCCGTGCAGGGCCTCACGTCCGCATCCCACTTGCCTCAAGCGGATGTTGTTGGCTCTGGGTGGCTTCCCTGGGTGGACTGTCTGGTCCAGCCTTCTAGTTCATCACCCCCTCCTTCAGCTCTAAAACTCGGCCCTGAAGCTGTGATCTTGGTAGACTCAGCGTTGCTACACTGTTTCAAGACTTTCTCTTTTCCTAAATAGCTGTGGGGCGCCCTGCAGAGCTCACTGTCTCTGGACCTTAGTTTGCTAATCTGTGGTGTGAGAATAACAGCGCACACTCCTAGTGTTGTTGCGAGGATTCGAGTGAGGTAATCAATTATTAAAGAGTGTTTATCAGAGGATTGATGGTTATAAGGTCTTTGAAATACTGCTGTTTATAATATTGCAGTTTTGTGTTCAATGGCCCTCCTCAGATGGTGCTTCAGGCTAACAGTAGAGTGGAAAAGATTCTTGAGAACTGGTTGTCACCCAGACCTGTGGGGTGCGATCCTGGACTAATCTGCTTCCAGTTCACTTAGGTCTCTGGGTGGCCCTGGTCGGAGGTCTTCTCGTCAAGATTTTGTGTTTGTAAGATGAGGAGTTGTACCTATAAGTCTTCTAAGTCCCTGTAGCTGCCTGTGAATTGTAGCATGGGATCTGGCTACCCTGGAAGATAGCCACGGGGTGCTGGGAGGGTGGTCAGAACCTCCATTACAGGAGGGGCCTCCATTGCTGAGAGAGACACAGCTGGGGACCCAAGGTAGGGTATTCAGTACAGTGTTGCTGTGGAGATCTTTGTTTTTTTCCTTTCATTTCCTTTTTTTTCTTTCTTTCTGTTTGGCTGGAGGCTTTACATCCAGCCCCCTGACTGAGGCAACTCCCAGGGGAGGGAGCTTATATGGGGTGAAGTTCAAGTCAAACATTTTCCTTTTTTTGGGGGGGGGGGATAGCTCATTGAACTTTGGGAGCTAGAAACATTAGAAGGTGCCTTACACCTGCCGGGTCCTCAGCAACAGTCTGATGAAATGAATGAAGGAAGGAAGGAAGGAATGAGTGAGTGAGTGAATCTGGTGTAGACTTTGTCTTGGACCAGGCTTCTAGGCACACGTGCACATGTTTTGTTCAGACTGGCAGTTTGGAGTGGGTGCGCAGTGCATTTTTCTGTTGGCCCCTTTTCTGCTGTGATGGTGTAATGAGCTTGCGAGGAGGAAATGGCTATCTTTGGTTCACAGTTATGAAGGCTCCAGTCCATAATTACCCGATCTAGCTTGATTTCTGTTGTAATAAAACATTGACTAAAGGCAGCTTGGGGGAGGAAAGGGTTTATTTCAACTTACAGGCTGTATTTCATCATTGCGTGAAGTTGAGGCAGGAGCACAAGACAGAAACTGAAGGCAGAGACCGTGGAGGAATGCTGTTTACTGGCTCACTTTCCCTGGCTCGCGCGGCTAACTTCCTTCCAGTCTCTTGTAACAGCTCATGAAACTCCTTCCACAATTCTTCCCCCCAAAACGCCACGGTCAGGTCCATCACAGCAATATCCCCCCCTTCTGTACCAATTTCTGTCCTCCTTTGCTCCTCTGATGCATTGAGAAAACACTGGCCAAAAAACAACCTGGGGACAGAAGGATTTATTTCATCTCGCAAGCTCCCAGGCCACAGTCCATCACTGAGGGAAGACAGTGCATAATCTCAGGGCAGGGACCCGGAGGCAGGAACTGAAGCACGGGGAATGGAGGGACATCACTGGCTTATTCGCTATGCCTTGCTCAGCCTGCCCAGTTATGGCACCACTCACAGTGGAATGGACCCTCCCACACCAATCATTCATCAAGAGATTTTCCCTCAGATACGCCCACAGGCCAGTCTGAAAGATGAAGTTCCTCAATTGAAGCTCCATCCTTCCAGGTGATGCTACTTGATGCTAAGTTGACAAAAAAATAACCAGCCCAGTTGCACTGCCACTCTGGGCCTGTGGAGGGGCAGCATCTCAAGGCAGGGCCTAGGGTGGAGCAAACCTTGTGTCTGAGCCAGGCAGCTAAGTAGAAAAGGGTGGACGGACTGCGGTCCCATAATTCAACTCAAGGGCATGGACCCAATTTCTTTCTGCCATTCTCCACCTCTTCCAGAATCCACACTGGGCTGCCCTGAGACCTAACCATTAACACACAGTCTGTGGGGAGCAGTCAAGAAGCAAACTGTAACTGTCCTTTGGAGAAGGGTTGTCATCATGAGAAGGAGATCCCTGCCTTTTCAGAATGGGAGGGACACTTTGTCTAGGCTTCACCGACCATCTGGAAGGTCAGAGGTAACTTTTGGGTGTGTCCTCCTCCCCTTTCAACTCCTGGAGCAGATCTCCGTCCTCCAAACCATGCACACCACACCATACACACGCTCCTTTGCAGTGTACTCCTACGCAAAGGTTTCAGGTATAGGCGATGGGTTTTAAAGCGTGAGCCCAACATTAATAAATGATGACAGGTCAGCATAATTTCAATGGGTGATGCATACCTCACACAGGGAACCTGCAGGGTGGTGGGGAGGCCTGCAGCAGTCCTACATGGAGGACTTCAGGTAGGCTTTCACAGAAAAGTCACATCTATAAAAGGTTTGCTGAAACATAGATAGGCGTTTTCTAGGCAACCCATCATTCCCTTCCTTCCTTCCTCCCTCCCTCCCTCCCTCCCTCCCCCCTCCCTCCCTCCCTCCCTCCCTCCCTCCCTCTCTTTCTTCCTCCCTCTGTCTCTTCCTCTATCTTTCTCACTCTGTGTGTATGTGTGTATGTATGTCTGTGTGCACACATATCTGTATGTATGTATTATATATTTATGTATGTGTGTATACATGTGGGCATTTGCTCTGAATAACACAATATTGTCTTTACTTCTCCAAGCAGCCCAAGAAGTCATCATGACTGACTTATTCACGTCGTGGGGGAAACTGAGGCTCAGAGAAGTCTCAGTAACTCTTTAAGCACCCCCACCTAGCAGGAAGGAGAGCCGGGATCTCAGCCCATCTAATCGGAAGCCTGTGTCTTACCAGCACTCTGTGTTTCCAGCCCTGACACAGTGGCCACTCAGGAGATGAGTGGGAAGGACAGTGGTTCAGGGTTCTGCTTTGCTGGGTGCAGTGCTCCTTGATTCATTTGCTTTTCTTCTGGGTGGACCACTGTACCTAACACGAAGCTTGGCTTCGCTGTGCGATGGTGGGACACAACAGTTGTTGGCTGTTTTTGTGCAACAAATCACTCCAGAACTTAGGGACCTTGTCTAGTGACAGGCTTTTAATGCTGGCGATTCTGTGGGTTGACTGAGCTCATGTGGTTGGATTTAGTGTGTCATGTGGTATAGCTGAGGTCACGTATATAAGTACATTCAGTCAACATGTGATGCAATCCTTATAAGATAGTCCGCTGAGGGTTTGGCACATTTAATAACTATGGAGGGACCCAAGTGTGGTGACACATGCCAAGCAATAGTGAGTCTGAGACAGGATGGTCATCACATGTTTGCGTTCACTGGGCTAACTAGCTGGATCCTGTCCTAGAAAACCCCAAACCAAACAAATGAAACCAACATATCAACAAAAAGGAATTTCTGTAGGCAGCCATTGCTGCTGTGGCTTATGAGAATAACTTCCTGTCATGTCCAGAAGACACTGTTTTCTTCTGGTCCTCCTGAGCTCTTACAGACTTTTCATCTCCTCTTTGAATGGTCTCTCTGAGGTATGTGTGTGTGTGTCTGTGTGTGTGTGTGTGTGTGTGTGTGTGTGTGCATGTGTGTGTGTGTGTTGGTGTGTACTCCACGGTCCCTTATGCTCTGCCATTTGACTAGTTGTGAGTTTCTGTGTTAGCCACCATCTACTTCAGAAAAATACTTCCCTGATGAGGTCGAGAGCTGTTAGACACTGAGTATTCTAGCATAGAGTGGAAAGGGGTTCCTGACCCTCCCTCTGGGCAGTTCATGGCTTCTTAGGGAGGGAGAGTGATAGAGGAAGGTCATTGGCTGATAAAGGAAATGCCTTGGCCCATTTTATTGGTTAGAAGATAGGTGGGAGGAGTAAACAGAACAGAACACTGGGAGGAAGAGGAAGTGAGCTCAGACTCCATGAGCAGAGACACCATGCTCCTCTCTCCCGGGCAGAAGTACGCGATGAAACAAGCCACCAGGTTAGACATGCTGAATCTTTCCCGGTAAGACCGGTGCTCACAGATTATTAGAGATGGGTTGATCGGGATATCAGAATTAGCCAGTAAGGGCTAGAGCTAAAGGGCCAAGGCATTTCCTTTATTAGCCAATGACCTTCCTCCATCAGGAGAGTTAATTTTCCTCAAGGGTGTAGCTCCTGGAAGTCTACAATACTCCAGTAGATGGCCCCACACCTAGAACTATATGGACAGCATAACTTAGAGTTGATGGGATATATAATGATAATAATAATAATAATAATAATAATAATAATAAATGAGAGGACATGAAGTTGGGGTGGGTAGGAGATGTGAGTAGGTCTGGGAGGAGTTAAGGGAAGGAGCTGGGAATGAATATGATCAAAGTACATTGTGTGAAGATCTCAAAGAATTATAAAAATATTGATTTTTCTAAAAAAGGAGTTGCTTCCTCAGGGTGGAGATGGTCCACTGACTCCCTGATTAGGAGTCCCCGTGCAATGAGGAACATGCTTAGCTGTACACATGGCCTCCTTTATCACTGTGATGCCACTACCTTCTCGGCTGGTTCTGAGGATCAAAAGTGTAACAGTTTGGCAGGCATGTGTTTTTTTTTTTTTTTATAAAGCT